CGTCTCTCATTAGTGTCCTACTGAGGATGAAGCGTGATGTGGCGCCTGGCACACAGGAACCAGGGCTCAGCACGCATTAGCCAGGAGCCCACAGCAGACACGCGGTGGTGTCTGGGGGTCATGAGCAGCCCCAGTCAGGGGTTACTGCCCAGGCAAGGTGGAGGTGAGAGGATCAGGACCTCGCTGTCCACTTTCCTTGCTTCTAGTCACTGGCTTGTGACCACTAGGTCAAAGCCCACAAATCCTTCCTGTTCCCCACCTCACCCACCCCCAGATCCCAGGGGGTCCTTCTGACCCTTCCTTTCCCCTCCCTGACAGCCCCACTGTGTTCTCTGAATTTTGTCAGGAGGGAGGTGGGAGGGTGTTAGTTTCCTGATGCTGCTATAACAAGTCACCACAAAGGCAGTGGTTTAAACACACACGTTTATTATCTTACAGAGCTCAGGAGGCCAGAGCCCCATATCAGTCTCACGGGGCTGGTCCTCTATGGTGGCTCTAGGGGTCCATCCCTTCCCTCGCCCTTCCCAGTTTCCAGAAGTGGCCAGCATTCCTTGGCACACGGCCCCTTCCTCTATCTCCAAAGCCAGCGGGAGTCTAATCACATTCCTGCAGGCTTAGCTAGGTTTGGGACCTGGGTCTGTGTCTCTGTGTCTGAGGCGGGCATTGTCTGAGCCGGGCAGGGAGCATGGTGGTCAAGAATGGGGACTCTGGAGCCAGGTGACCCAAGCCAGGATCCCAGCTCCTCCTAGTAAGGTCACCTTGAGAAAGCACTAACCTTCTTTGACCTCAGTTTCCTCATCTGTAAAATGGGATGATGTTCCTAACAACTCACTCAGAGGGCTTTTTGGGGGATTAAGTGGGGAATGTGTGTAAAGCCTGTCAAAAGTGCCTGCTGCACTGTATATGTGAGCTATTATTTCATTATTAGAACTACCAGGGACCTAAGGACAGGAAATATTTAACATCTCAAATGCAAGTTTAGAGACAGACACAAAGGGAGCTGGCAGTGAAGTTTGCCAGTATGTTCTGTGCTTGAGGAGGTGTTGGGGTACCGTGTCCCACAGTACATCTGTTTTGGGGACCTTCCATTCCCATGTGAAGAGTCAGCTGGGGCACCCCACCTCCAGGACCCCATCTTGGCCTCCTCCTGCCAGTGGACACTGGCTTCAGTGTCCCTTTTCTGGGTTCCTGAGCTGTGTTCCCATCTTCATACTTACACGAGGGAACTCGGTGGTCTGTTTAGGAGTCCGGTTTCTGCAGACCTGCATCTTGTCTGAACCATCCCTGCGTTCCCAGGGCAGAGCAGGAGCCTGCTTTTGTGGGTGCCATTGCTAGTTGAGTTGATAAAGTCCTTCCTGAGAACAGGCTTGGCGTAGAAAGGTGTGGGGGTCACTATAGACCCCACCTCCTGGAGCCCACATCTGATGGACCAACCAGAGGCCTTCCGGAGGGCTCTCTGGGAGGAGCGCAGAGGCTGGGGCAGATCGCCCCAGACCATGACCCCGAAGGTCATGGTGCGCCCCTGAGGACTGTCCTTCACTTGACTCTGGGTCACTCTCTTTGTTGGTGCCCTTTGCCCTCCCGTCGGCCTCAGGAGAGAGACACTCTCTCCTGAGTGTGCGTGGCTCAAGCACTGCTGACCGGCCACTCGTGTGACCTGGCCCTGGTCTTTCCTCTCCCTGGGTCTCCCTGCTTCACCAAGGGCTGGACCGGGCCCTTCTCCTGTAGGCTGACCGTACCCAGCACCGGGCTGGCGAGAGGTCAGGGCTCACTAAACACTTCGCACCCGGGAGCGCCCAGGCTGACCTCAGCTGGTGTCTGTTCTGGGCTGGGCTGCTCCGGGCAGAGGCCACCCTCCTGCAGCCTGACTCTCCAGGCTGGGGAGCTATGCCTGGGGAGACCCCATCTTCCTGCAGCTGGGAGCCCTGGGGAGTGGGCAGAGACCCCTGTGGAGGCAGGGTCAGAAGGAGGGTGATCTGATTGGGGCCACCAGAGGTCACAGCTTGTGCCATGTCGGGGGAAAGTGTCTGATGAGTGCCCAACTCCTCTCCCCCTGGCACCTTGCGGTCCTGACAGGCAGCCCTGCCCCGCACCCCAGCCCTCCTCCAGTGCTTCTCTACCCTGGCTGAGGGGTCTCTTTCTGCATCCCTGGCGTAGACAGGAGCCACCTCCAGAGAGCTCAGAACACATAGGGAGGTGAAGACAAGAATCCAGTCAGGTGGAGGGGGAGGGAGTTTATTGTTGCAGGGATCGGCAACACTGGAGGTTGATTTACAGCAGCATTTTCTGGTGGGAAAAAGAGAACAGGGTGAGGGCTCTGGGGTTTTCCTCCCTCTGCAGCAGTGCAGGGCTCTACCTGGAGGCTGGGCAGTAGCCTGGGGCCTTGACAAGGCAGCCAGGCCTCTGCTGTGGGACTGAGTCCCCTCTGCCTTGCAAACCACACCCACCCCCGGTTGGTCAACCCCCAGCTCAGAGCAACTCTATTCCCTCACCCCTGAGATTTATGGCCAAACACACTGCCTGTCTCCCCACAGGGCCCTGCAGTTAGGGGGCTATGGTTTTCTTTTGGGGGCACTGTATGGTGCTTGGGATTGGGGTATAAATAGTCGCTGAACCAGTGGATGACTTGGTGGCGTTAATGCATTTCACTGCATGGGAATTCACTGCATGCAAGGCCCGAATACAGAGAAGCTGCTCTTCAACGAGTGAGTGAGAGAACGAGTGGGTGAGTGAGTGGGTGAGTGGGTGAGTGAGTGAA